GGGTTCCATGTGATGCCTTAAGATTTTAGCTCTTATATTTTTTCAAATCCTATACAGCATTAGTGCATAGCTCTAAACCCCATATAACTGTCTTTACATTTTGGTTAGACAGAATAATCCCTCTGGGCCTGTTATTGAAGGACACCCTAGAGCCTCAGGCCCTGAAAAGTATAAACAAAAGTGATTTCCATGGGGGTAACAAACTAGGGGGAACATGACTTTATTACTTGAAGCTGTAATTGGAGGATTAACGCCTAATATGTAAATAGACCAAACTTATATCTGTCTGAAAAACTCATGACCATCATCCATTTTGGGTGTAGCCCCCTGGGGAGGCTTCATCTGCCCTTAATGTACCTGAAGGCCCTTCAGTAAATAGATCTGCTGTTGTCTTTTAACTTTGTCTGGTTTCTGTTTCTAATTCTGTAAGCCTGAATTAGGCATCACGTGAGTTTCTCATTATTTCACATCATAGGCTCCTTGGGGTCATGTTTCTCATATGTATTGGCTTCATTTTTACAGAAAGCTGAATTATAAATTATTTTCTTTCAGCTTTTGGTACATATACAAAAAACCCTCATTTTTTTGACAGATGCCTTTGCCCTCTCAAAAGGTGTATAATTTTAGAAAGATCCAACACTGTACCTCTGCTATGCTTTCGGTAGCTAGCTGGATATTTAGTGCTGCCTATTGTGATTCCTTTGGTAGAAGGCACAGAAACACTGGGGCCTTGCAGGCTGCTTAAGAATAACTCTGTACCCAGTTTGGGGAAATATCCCAAATGTGGTTGCACCACTGCAGAGCAATGACAACCCCCCCTGTTCAGACATGGGGACGCTTGTTTGAGGAGCCAGTCAGTGCTAAAGATGCCAGTGGAGTCTGATGTGAGTATAACTACACCAAAATAGTGATCAGACTGACTTCAGTAAGTTCTATCAGTGGAAGCACAATGATAGAAGTAAAATTGGGTACTTGCATAATTGTGACAGGCACTGAATCTAGTGTGCCTTCTCATCACTAGCTTGTATGGCATTTTTGAATTACAAAGACAGCTTTGGGTCTGTTTTTGCACTGTTGGCATTTTATATTCGTGTGTTATGGTCTGAATTGTGTATGCTCTTGAAAGGCACTTCAGTCCACCCATATCAAGCACCACTTGTTTCTGTTCTAGTCACAGGCTGCAAATTAATGTTCTCAAAATTACTATCTCAGTGAGTAATCCTTTCAGAATATTACTGTAGCATTATGATAATACATTGTACAAAAGTGTGAAATTGTCAGTGGTATTGTCAGGGCTTGGGCTTTTTCTTCCATACCTACTTTCAAGAATCTGCTGATTCATCTGGACTGTTGGCCCTGTGTTTTAGGTTGTAGATACAGAATTTTATTTACACTGTGACAAGCTAATTTTAGAGGAGTTTATTTATTTATTTTTATTTTTGGGGTAGTTTATTGTCATGTTTAAAACATGGTTCTTTGCTTTATGAGACTCTTCAAAAGAAATTTTCAAATTTAGTTTAATTGTAACTGGCAAACCAGTTACAATTACAATACAATATTTTTGTGCTTCCTAAGTAAAGTACCCTCCAAAAATGGATGCTGTTATTGGAGTTCAATACGGGAATGTCTTGAGTTACTCATGGACATTTAGTACAGTAATTGTTGACTGGAAGGCTGTGGCTGCAGAGTCTGTGGTGTGTTAGGCAGGAAATGCAGAGCTGTGGATGGCTTGGGGTGTAGCTCAGATTGGCCTCACAACCCAACTGTGCAAGGGACTGGAGCAGATGGTCCCTTCACCTGGCTGCTTCCCAGCCCATCCCCTATGTCCCGTGCAGTGAACATATTTCTGCTAGGTGGAGTATCACCGCGCCTTCTGGGGACAGCTGGCAGCTTTCACTGATTGTAGCATGACATTCAACACAGCACAAAATTGGTTGAGCTGCATCAGACTGATTGGGGACAGTCAAGCCTAGTGTTACTTCATTAATTTCAGTAGTATTAAAAAAAATCTGAGGTAGCAATGCTTTACTACATCCATGCAGGGGATCCCCAGACCAGTGCTGAGATGTATAAGGGGCTCCACATTGTTTGATCATGTTGTAAAACATATAAATGACCTTGGAAGTCTAACAGGAAAAATGGGTGAAAGAATATTAAGTCAAATGTATAGTATCATTTGAGCTATTTAAACTATGCTTTTACAAATCCTAAGACTGTTTGAAATATTTTTAAATTATAATGTATTATGAGATGATTTTAAAAACCCTCTCCTTTTTCAGAATTTATAATACAGATGAGTTAGCACCGTCATGAAAGTGAAAACAATTGAGTTTGGGGTTCTTTTTGATCTTTGGCTTTTTTGTGGAAGACGTAGAAGCTTAATGAGCTAATGAGCAAATATTGATGACTCCAACTGTATTTTAAAAAGTCTCAGTAATTTCTTTTAATATGGACATTTTTACTAATCAGAGATCTTCAATTTACAAAGTTTTTTATATTTTAATTTAGTAGTTACTGATTTGCTTTCTTAAATTAATAGCGTAACATTAAATATTAGATTCTTGTTTATATTTTCCCCTGCTTTCAGCTGAACTGCAGAGGTAGAACTCCAGAAGCACTTTGTTTGCTCTTTGTTGTCTGTGTTCTGCACATGAAATAACTTCTTGTGGAACTGAAATTATAATTTTACAAACATTAGGCTGTAAAATTGCCAGTGTATTGAGAGATCTACCATGTTTGGATTAGTTGTTGTGGTAGATACCTGTAGGGTGTAAGTATTGATTGGACAGTTAAAAAACAGTTTTGTTTATCTCTTACTGTTTGATTGATTGATTGAGGAAAATAGTTAATAATTCTAGGAAGGAAAAATTTTTAATTTATTATAACTTATTTGACCCTACACCATGCCATAAATGAAGTTAAATGATGCTAAGGATTTATAGCATGGGAATTCTAGATTGGAATTACAAATTGAGTGTTTATTTTTGAATGGTAGAAAAGAATTGCAGTGCTTTGCTCCCTAAGAGCTTTGTTCCATCGCATGGGCACGCACGTAGCTCTGTGTGCAGGTACATACTCATTCTGAGTCAGCCAAAATCTTGCAGTGTCACAGCATAAGTCTTGAAATACTCTCAGAATTTCAGATCTGTGGCATGCAAGTATGGGCAGACCATCATGTTGTAAAATAATGACTGCCTGTCAGTAGGAAACTGCACAGTTAGTGCATCCTTCATTCCTAGGCATTTTTTTCTCTCTGTAACATTTGAAATTCTCATTTGAAAGCAAACTACAACAGATGGAGTTGTAGTTAGCTGACAGCAGTGATTACGCTGTTGTTTTCAGTTACATGCTATTTTTTTACATTCAAAACAAAAAGTTTCTGCTCTTATAAATACATTATCCCTCCTTGTTCCTGAGAAAATGATGAGTCACAGAATGGTTGGGGCTGGAAGGGACCTTAAAGATTACCCAGTCCAAACCGCCCTGTCAGGGGCAGGGACACCTTCCACTAGAAATGCTCACTGACAGCTCTGTGTACAATATTCATCTTAAAAATCTTGACAGGGACAAACTGAGCATAAATGTAAAAGCAACTTTCTCGTATTTCAGTTGGCCTCTAGAGCCTCCAGTCAAATTCTGTTTCCACCCTGTGTGGTTTTGTGGGTACCAAGATAGAAGAGGTTCCAGATCCTCCCTACATCCCACGGTAGATTTCAGCTAAAATGCCGAGGTGTTTTCTAGTAAGCATTGTGACATTGACTTCAGCAAGGCCAGGCTTTGCCAGGTCAAATGCCTCCTCCTGGGCAAAGATCAAACTCCCTTCTTCTGCAAGATTGTCTGCTCTACATATAAACATAGCTCTGATTATTTACATCATTATTAAGAAGAATCACAAACTGGTTAAAAGCAAAATATTTCATGCTGCTGAACATACTCAGACATGTTCAATGGAATTTAAATTATTGCGGTTCATTTCAAGACACTGTAAGCCTTTTAAAATGCAAATGTCTTTTACTATTCAGATTTAAAAAAAAAAAAACAATTAGAGTTCATCTTGTCTAAAATAATTTCAGGAAATAGAAGCATTGTTGAGAAGGTGGGGGTTATCTCCCAGTGGCCACATTTGTTCTGTAAAAATAAATGTTAGAAAATTTTCCATTTATTTGCTGGAGTTACTGAATACTTCATTGAAAGGAATTTTATTCCATTAATTGCTTAGGTCACTTCATTTGTTTTGGGAATTTGGGTACTGATTTTTATGTGGTTCAAGTTAAATTCAGCTGTAAAGTTGTGTTCCTCATTTTAAGGGAAGAAAAAAGATTCAGGTTCCTGGAATTTGTAGATGAAGACCATGCAAGTTTTTATAATTGTCTCCAAAAACTAAAAGATGAAGTGTTTATTTGTTTTTTAAAGAAAATTTCATAAAAAGTCATGCGTTGTTCTTTGCATGATCTCTTGTAATGTGAAATTCAAAACATTCTCAGCTACTAACCAAAATAAACCCTATTAATTTATAAAGAAGCATCAAACATGAATGAATTATTTTTTTTGCTTCACTGTGTTATTATTAATTTTTTTAAATATCAGTGTTTAGCTAGTACCTGAAAATAATTATTCAGTTTCATCTTTGCATCTGGGCATATTTAGATTTTAAATTTATTTGCTATATGGTAGCTTGATTAACATAGCTGTCCAGGAATGTTCAATTTCATATTATAAGAGACATAAAATATTAAGATGTTGAAAAGGATTTGATTATATACATTTTGTTTTTCTGAATCTGGATTTCGAGCCAAGAGGGCTGAAAGTTTATTTCTTTCAAGACAAAGTGTTCAAATGCAGAAGGAAAAGAATAATAGTTTCTGTATTTGTGTACCTTATTCAGTCTTTGTCTAGGATATGTGAAAGCTAGGAGTTGTGCAAATATACTTTTGCAACCACAGGGTGAATATCAGCAAAACAAGGATAAGAAAACAACTTTAATTCAAATTTATTTTTTTTTCATTATGGATTGAACTGCTGTTTTTGAAGCACTGACATTGACATCGTTTCACTGTCAGATGTGGCTGATCTCAGCTGCTGCCTTGTAGCAGTTCTGCCACCAGAACTTTGCTGTGCTGAATAGCGCAGTACATGGAAGTGTACATTATCCCCATCTGCAAATTTACATTTCACATGTTACTCAAAATTTCTTTGGTGGCACTCACACGTTTCCCTCTCTGGGTACTGTCCTCTATCTGCTTCCCTATTTTCACCTCTTTCCTGCTTCTGACTTACACTTTGAGTCATCATCTGTAATGTCACACTGTATCGCTATCACATAGGCTTTCTCTGCTTTCTTGTTTCTTTTGCCGTGCCTCACAGAAAACTTCTCAAATTGGGTTTTCATGGTGCTGCAGCTCACATGCTAGAGCAGAAGGTCGGCTGTCTTTTCTCTGTTGGAGAAAGCATCAGGCGGGATAAGGACTGCCACATGTCTCCCACATTGTATGAATAAACACATGGAAGGTCTGTTCCTGTTCTGTACTTGGGAGGGCAAGCCCTGAAGGAAGGAAGACCGCATCATAAAAAGTCAGGACTATGATTCAGGGAATGGCTTTTCACTCTTTTTAAGGTAGGGGTGACAGAGTCAGGAGAAGCTCATGCTTTGTTCCCCTTACCTTGTCTGCCTGCCTACCTTGAAAGGAAGACTCAGCACCTGATGTGTGTGTGCCTGTCTGGCAGGTGGAGAAAGACTGTGGCATGAGCAGCACAGGATCAAGGAAGGTGGGGAATAGGAGTGAGCCTGGTGTGATTTTTGGGAGTTCCATCTCCTACTGTGGGGAGCCCTACCTGTTGGCAGCAGGAGAGGTGCTGGAGCTGCTGCTGTTGCTGGCAGCAGTCAGGAGACTCTGGGTGGGAGTTGTCAAACGTGCGTTGTCATTCACAACCAACCACAGAAAAACAGCTACTGAGTCTGGCTCCTTTTCACAGTGCTGGTTGTCACAGGCCGGTTCAGGGAGGGTTTCAGAGGTGACTGCAGTTACCACTCTTTAAGAATTTATTTTGATAGCATGCCCTTTGTATTGGAAGATTATTTCATGGTTTTTTCATCTCTTTCCTACTGCAGGTTTGTTTTCTTTTGCACATGCATGGTTACTTTTTAATTTATGCAGAGACATTGTATTCCAGCTTGCTTTAGTAACTCTTTAAGGGGTTATATTTTTCTTGAATTTAATTTAAATGTGTTCTTCAGTCATAGTTATGCTCTGTATCGTAACTGTGTATATCTTGTGAACATGAGTAACAGTATTATTTTACACATAATAATTAGCTAAAGGTGGGATATGCATACCTGAATATTTTATTGTCTTAGGACAGTTCTTCTATTTAATTTAATTTATACTTTAACAAGTTGGTGTTTTTCTTTACAAGTACTCAAAGCAAGTATGTGGCTGACTAAAAGCTTTTGTTAGTTTCAGAGTGGATTGGATGAAAGACTGATTGCTACAAAGAGACTCAGTTCTTCATTAGTGAAAAGCTGGTGATACACTAAGGATATGCTGCCCTGTTACATCTCCCTCCCTCTTCAAATGATTTGAAATTGTTTCTGTTAAACCCTCTGGACAGTTATTTTCCTTTATCTACTAATAATTTGTATTTTATGTCTTTGCTTGTGTTTTTTCATACCATTCACTATTCACACGTAGCAGTTTATTTTCCCTTACCTGTATTTTGTTCTGCTTTTTCTTCCAATTCTCTCTGAAGTGTAAGGACAAATTACAAAATGTTGTTTCTAAGCAGAAATGCACTTTACATGGTGCTGTCTGCGGAATGATCACTTCTAAACTGGGACATTTCGCCAGCTTCTTTCAGGTATCATCTCTTGAAAAATTCCTGAAACTTTAAGCCATTTGTTGGTTATTAATTTAGTACCTTGTTTTGTCTTTGTGTGTGCCTTTCTGTACTGCTTGAGTGGAGATACATCATCCTTGTGTATGGACTCCCTTACGTTTGTTTGTACTGTGTTTAACATGTGGAACAAACCCTGTCTTTAGAGGGCAATAGCTGTAGTTAGTGGTGTCCTTGGCCATAAATACTGTCTTTAGAGGAAAGATGGTTAACCTTCTTGTGGGAATTTTTTTTCTTTTTCACTCTCTTGGTGGTCTGTGTTAGAGTATTTTCCATCATAAAGAAACAAAGAGAATCATGATTTTGCTTCCTCTTTATCATCAAAAAAGAAATTCAAAAGAGTTTTGCTATAATTTTTTTGTATCTGCTGATAGACATTGAAAGTATTTGAGTGCAGTTGTTTCAGTTGTAGTTGAATATTTATAAACTTTTGTTTGCCAACTTCAAATTGATTTTTCTGTATTAAAATACAGTACATTTTCAGCTTAAGTGTTTTTTAATTTCTTAGCTTCTAATAGGGCTATAGGGGCATACAGAGAAAAACGACGTTGTCATATGTGTCATGGTGTCAAAAATTGAAAATAGTTTCCTTAAATCTGCTGTGTGTTTTTGACTGGATTTGGGAAGGTGCCAGAGTGCTTTCATCTCCTGTTGCCTGCAGTGGAAACTGAATACTGTGCATCAAAATTGAATTATTTTGTATATTTCCTTGGAAATTACCCAGAACCATCCAGTAAGAGACTCTTGCAGATAAAGCTTTGATTATATGTTGTAATCTATGATCACTCATATAAGCTTGTGGTTTAAAAGCTAAAGCAGGTTTTTTTTTGTTGTTGTTGTAATAATACTGGGTCTTGAGGCCTCATAAATAGTTCAGTGTTCTTGTCTTGGTGAGATCACTGTCCTGAAAGTTTTGATGCATAGCCTTAATTAGGGTAAAGAGTTCAAAATTTTAAAAGAAAAAAATCCTGCCGTTTATGCTGTGTTTCTCTTGACATCTTTTCTAGACAAGCTTTGAGAAAAATGATAAGTAAATATTAGAGCTTCATGCTTTTCTGCAAGCTAGACAAAAGTGTGGGGCTTTGGAAGAGGATGTGATTGCTCTGAATGTGCCACAGCTTGCTGTGTGCACCTGGGCCAGGGATTTATGTACCTTCCAGGCAAGGAAAACACTCAGACCTCTGGTATGATCTGGTGGGACTGGGACCTTACTGAGCACCAGCTCTGCCATTTGTGAATGGGTGATGTTTGCAGGCATGCTGAGAACACAAACATGGACAGGGATCAGTACAGTTTGCTGCTCTTTGCTGGTCCCTTTTCTTAAGGACATAACTTCCCTCCATCACTGTTCTTTTGGGAGGGCTGCATGTCATGTGTTTGTGAGTTGAGAAAATGATTAACATCTACTTTTCTCTGTGATTTACGTGTTACGAATTTTGAGCAATCCCTGAAGTCTGCATTAAAAATCTTGAACACTGTTGAAGCACGTTTGAATGAAAATGCAGTAGTGTCTTTATTTGTGTCTTATAGGAAGAAAAGGCTTCTCTCCTTCATCGTACTCAGGAAGAAAGGAGAAAACGAGAGGTAAAGTAACCTGTAAGCGTTTGCCTGCCCACTGGATTTTTCTTTGGTGTTACACTTACAGTGCAAAGTACTTCTGCTGCAGTCGTACTTAGTTCAGCAATGTTTTCTTTCAGTTTGCAAGTTCTGCGTAGTCTTAAAGTGTGCTTTACTTGGCAAAACAATTTGAGTGCTTTAAGATGTTGCTTAGAAGTGCTTTTCATCTCAAAAGAAGATAAGCATACGCTGGGTATAAGTGTATAAGTAGTGGATAAGCAAAGGGAAATTTTCCTTCTATTTTGGTGTTTATTTGATCTAGTCTTTGTTGAGAAAAGATAAGGATTCAGCTAATAAATTGCAAATTTTACCTTCTCCATAATCTACTAAGGGCTGGTCTCAGCAAACTTGCTTCTGTTCCTGCTTCTGCTATGGTTTCTTGGCTGACCTTTAGTACTTCACTTCCCCAGTGTGTGCCTCAGTTCTGTGAAGGTAAAAATCAGAACAGTGATTCTTGAATGCTTTGAGAAGCTGATGTGTGAGGCTTTAAGCAGCCTTAATACTGATTTGTAATGGAAGCTTATTGCTCTGGAGAATTCAGTCTGGAATAATGCAAAGGAGGAATAGGCACTGAAATGAAGAACCCAAAATTTAGTAGTATGGAATTTGAGTCCATGTTAATTTTGTCATTTTCCCCCCACCACTCCCATATAAATTGAAAAAAATTTAGTGTTAAATACTGATTAAAAAATATAACTATGCAGGTTTCATGCTCACAAAGAAAACAGCTCTTTGGCCCTTAAAGATATGTTTGACCCATGCTAGATTAAGCACAAGTTCTGCAGTGGCTCCTCAGTTTTAGTGGACTGCTTTCTTTTCTCTCCAACTTGGGTGTGCAGTTATGAACTTAGTCCAAGTATGAATGTACCAGGATTTCACCTGTTTATTTAGAATTCCATGTTATGAATCAGCTTTATCATCAACAAGTCCTTAACAACATATGTAAAAGTTCTTCGTTGTGGTCCATTAACCCATTCATTTGCCTGTCTCTCTCCTTGGCAATGCTGATGCAGAGCCATACCCTCAGCTCAGTGGAGGTACACATGCGCACTCATTGATTTGCTGTGGCATGGAGCACATTTTTCCCAAATGAATGACTCCTCTGAGAATAAAATCAGCTATGGCTTTTTAAAACTGCCTGTAGCAGAATCTTAGCAGTGACCTCAGACTTCAAACCTTTGCAATTAGGAGTCTCTAATAGACAGTTATGTGTTCTGAGATAAAATCAGTACCTAGATAGAAGGAAACGTTATCTGTGTTTTAGTTGAGCCTTACATTATGGTTATGGAGAGACACCACCTCTCTGAAACTCTCTTCTGATTGCACTTTTACTGTCAAAACTTTGGAGAGAGAAATACCCTTTGGCTTATCAAAATTTTGATTTTGACCCATGATTTAGAGGCAGTTTGAGTCTTCAGGAATCTGCTTATTCAGATAAGTTGCTTTAAGAACCCAGGCTTTCCAAGAAAAATAAATTAGGCCTTGGGTAGCAATTTTGTCTGGTGTTGTCTCTGGTCAGTTCAGGTTGTGCTTTTAAGTTGAATGTGTCTTTATAGGACAATAAATTGGAAATCGAGGTTTTGGAACTTGGAAGTTTATGTGAACTCTCCAAAAGTATTTTAATTAAATTTATGAAAACATTTTGGTGTTTTGTTTTGCCTGGTGACCCTCAGAATTACAGGTTCAGTATAGTTTAAGGATTGATTTGGTTAAAATATCTCTTTTTAAAGCTGGTTTCTTAATCCTTGTACTTTTCCTTTAACCAGAAGTTGAAACCAGCTTTGTAGCTCTATGTTCATGAACAGCTCTTTATTTGCCCTCTTTTATTCCCTAACAAACCATATGGACATTGTTAGAAATATAATTACAGTAGCGATTTCCCATAGATACTTATTGTAATGGGATATACTTAGGGTGTTGGCAGGGAACCCTCCAAGAACTCTTTCCATAGCATCTCAAGCTGGCTTTCAGTTCCTCCAAGCCATTGTAAAGGGGTGATTTTTGCTACTCTTTCCACCTACTAAGGAAGATGTCATAAAAGGATTCACTAAATATGTCGGGTTTGGAAAAGAGATTAAGAATTTTTATTAATTTCTATATTTTGCTCCTGGGCCACAATGAACTTTAAGCCTCATTATCCTTTTGACAGAGGTACTGTCTCCAAATAACTGATTTTTTTTTATGGTTTTCCCCACATCTAATATATATTATAAAATAATAAAAATAATATTAATTTTATTTAATATCTAATATTAATATGAATCAATATGAATTAATTACCATGATAATGCTTTTATATTATTTGAATGAAAACA